AATTGCTGAAAATACACCCATCCGGGTGCATAAAGCTACTACTGACTTGACTTGACTTGTAATCCCTGTCTAAAAGCGGCTTTCGACTCAGTCGACCGCTCTAAACTCTGGCGCTGTCTTTCCTTGAAGGGAGTGCCCGAGAAGTTTATTTCAATATTACAATACCTCTACAATAATAGCCGAGGCCGAGTTCGAGCTTACGGCACTTTTTCACCCGAGTTCACCACCGAAAGTGGTGTTCGACATTGTTTCCCTCTCTCTTCTTTTCTATTTAACTTTGTCATAGATTTAATTTTTAAAACGGCCCTATCCTCGTGCAGGGATAGCGGTATCGATTTACTTCCTGGTGGCAGACTGTCTGATCTAGAGTATGCAGACGACATTGTGCTACTAAGTGACGGTCCAGGTAAGTTGCAAGCTTTTCTGGATAGTTTGAGTGCTAGTGTTGCCATGTTCGGTATGCGTTTTGCACCTGCAAAGTGTAAAATGCTACTACAAGATTGGGTTGATCTAGCACCCAGTCTCACCCTAACTGGGGAAGTAGTAGAGGAAGTAGACAAAATTTTGCTATCTAGGCAGCTATATCTCACCCGCAGACGCATCACAGATGAAGTGTCGGCGCGCATACAAAAGGCTCGATTGGCATTTGCAACTTAAGACATTTGTGGCGCCGTCGCGACATCCGGCTGTCTGTGAAGGGTCGAGTGTATGCTGCAGTATTCGGCCAGTCCTGCTCTACGGTGCAGAGACTTGGCCACTAAAGGAATAGGATAAAAATACGGCCAGTCCTGTTATATGGTGCAGAGACTTGGCCACTAAGGGAACAGGATAAAAATAGATTGTCGGTGTTCGAACACTGCTGTCTACGTAGCATTGCACAAGCCTGGTGGGGTAACCGGACTAGCAATGCTGAGGTTAGACGTAGAGTTTTAGGCAGTCACGGTCGTCCACTAGAGGAAGTGATCGACCTCCATAGATTACGCTGGTTGGGACATGTGTTACGCATGTCACCAGATAGGTTGCCACGACGAACGATGTTTGCCATGGCTGGTAGCGATTGGAAAAAAACAAAGGGCGGTCAAGCTAAGACCTGGCATGAGGGTATGAAAACCCTAACTAGGAGACTAGGTCACATAGGCCCCGTTAGGCTCCTTGGCTGGGGACCTCGGGATGATGGTCACCGATGGTTAGCTACACTGAGTGATACGGCTGGGTGTCGCAAACAGTGGCGCTCGTGCATCCACTCGTTATTTTCCTAGCACCACTGTATATGTATTCCCCATTTTCCGCTTGAATTTGCTTCGACATTCCAATCTTCATTTCGCTCTTTTATCCAAATGGGCAACCAAAAGCAGCAACCAAAACCGGCGCACGAAAGTGCATGGTAATGGTTGTAAAAACTGAAACTGAAACTGAATCCCTGTCAAACTCACTCGGCGCATTGAAACTCGAAACCCAGAACACAGTTGAACTGTGTCATACGACCATCAAGAGCTCGGAACAATGCAGTCACCACAGTTCGACAAAAATTACCCCGTGGAAGGACCAAATCCCACGGAACAGAACCACGTAAGTGCGCAGCGATATCCCGGACCAAGACTACAATCTGATGAATTGGATTTCATATGGGAGGGGAAGAGGATAGCAAATCGGTCCAAAGAGAACCGAACCGAACCGATAAATCTTGGTTGAAAACAGGAAATGGATTAAGCTTGTGCTTGTAATCGGACAGAAAGTCTGTGACAGTTTGAGTCAATCTTACAAGATTCGAAATTAGTATGATAGGCAAACGACAACCAGTATGTGACATGACACAACTAACCACTGATTTCGGGGTCCACGATTGGCGTTTCATAGCCTGAATTCTGCAATAAATCCGGTATTGATGTAAATGTTCACAAAACCTCGTAGGATACTGATTATCACTGTGTTAATTTTAATTTGTCACCCTTCAGACACCATCCTTCACGCCCAATCTTCACTTCGTCCTGTCGGGAAGCAACAGAATCGATTTTTGATTCAATCAGAGCTCATCATTAGTGCAAATCCATCGTCCGGTCCGGAACTTAAACTCCAGACCATTTGCACGTTACCACTGCCCACAGGAATCGTCATTTCATGGTTCGCCTGACAGCAGTGAAGAAACATTAGGTATACTATCTGTTAACTCTAACCGCAAGAATCACACCAAGCAAGTTTCCAATGATTTGACGAGCTCTTCGTGTGAATCTCGAGTTTAATGCTGTCCGAATGCATGGTTGAGGCTTGTGTATAAAGATGAAACATCCAAAATGATACCGGATTCATTCCTACAAGCAAGATTCATGTGTGTGTACACTCTTTCCTCGTCCACCTCTCCATTTCTATTAACCTGTGGATTGTCGACAAATCTGTTAGCTATAGTGCTCCGAGGTCCCGATCGGACTCGTTGTAAAACACAATGGTTTATGATTTTACAACCCTGACTGGAGGAACAAAAAATCAGATCAGAGTATATCAGCCACTTTTCGATGAGTTGTTCTGCTGATGGTGCCAGCCATTGAGTGACAGTAGGCAAACAAATGCATTCCAGTTGCAACTACTATAAAATATAACAGTAGTCGAGTCATAAATACCACACGCACATGCACTCCATCAAACTGGGAGAGTCGTGCCAACTTTCGCAATGGGATACTGTATCCCAGATGAGGCAGACCGTCCGGAGTGATACTCCACAAGCACCGCAAGCGATCCGTCTCACGAAGTCGCGCAGCCACGGCGTCCAAACAGCCCTGTTTTGATACACGAACAAGACAAGGAGTGAGAAAGGGGCCGATGAATGAATGAAAAACAATTCTAACAGGAAAAAATGATTCACGCGAAAGAAACTGATGTCAGATCTTTTCTCACATACGGCAAAAAAAATTGAGACCCACTCGCTAGACTAATCATGTGTCTTTTTTCAAATGTAGCTGATGGAGTCAATTCAATATGAAAATCAAAATGAAAACATATCATGAGTTGATTTACTGCCGATTGTAAATGGAAGGAAACGTGAATGTACATATGCCACTTCTTGCTCAGCTAGCTATATCGCATCGAGCAGACAGACAGCAGTTAAGTTAATTATGAGTTATCCTTTTCAGACAGCCATCCAGTTGGCACTTGAGTTTACGCATGTGCTTTACACGCAGGTTGTCGATTACAATCGATCGTCCGATCACGTGTGTGACCGGAATCGCAACCACATGCACGAGGATAGTGATCGATGGTGATGAGCAAAAGAGACTGGCGAAGTGTACTGGATTACGACCAACTGACTGGAACACAAAACATCAGAACAATTTACCAAAGAAGTATTGATAACTATCAGATGATCATCAAAACGCAGACTTTCGGAGAGACGATTCGAGTGGAAACTGCTGCATATTATGATTATAGGGGCACGTGGGAATGTTCCATCGAAACTTTGTCGTTTACTAACCGATGACAACGATGTCTTTGTAGCTATGGGACTGTCATGATGTCATGACACACTGATCTTCTGGCGCGTGACGAAATGGCACGCTAGATCTGCCGATAGCCGACATGTGTATCACGCTCCTTGCCCTCTGTAAAATGAGGAGATTATATCAACTTGATGTGGAACAGAGCTCCAATTGATAATTACGACTGTAAATATAGTTCACAGATTTTTTTATTACACACAAGTGTGTGATAAACAGCAGACGTGGCGGACCCCGTGGTCACGAGGAGCTGCTGTACAGTGATCGTAACCGGCAACCTAAGCCTCGGGACTTGGAGTAGTGAATCACATAAGGCCCCGCTAGATCAGGCGTGGTATTGAACCGGACGACAGCAAAGCTGTCTATCACCCAAATAAGGTGGTGATGGCGGGGTTCGAACGTCGGACCACAGGGTCCAAATCACGTCGATAACAGCGACTAAACCACTGCATCATCGCCACCCTTTACGGGAGAAAATAATCTGTGAAACAGTACAGCGGGTGAATAATAATTTAGGACAAAAACATGACATCCAAGTTTGAAGTTCCAACCAAAAACTATCCACACCGGTAAGCCTGATCTGCATAGCCGCGGATTAGTACAGCGGAGCGAAACCCTGTGATTGGCCATTTTGATGCTGCCGATCCATACGACCGAGAATCAGCAACGGCAGAGAATGCTCCCACTCTGCATTCAATTCAGTTTTATCCATATGCTCAGCCTCCCAAAACGGGTAGACGACAGACAGGTGCTATTTTTGGCAATCCACACGCGAGTAAATAAAAAGCGATCGACCTCCCCGACATCGGTTGCCCTGCTGGATGCTCGCAAAGCCATTCCTTCGGGTTCAGGAAAACGACAAAGCGCGCAAATCCCTCAAACTCCAGCTTATCGAGGGAAGTGAGGGAAGTGTAGAGAGATGGATATGGCTGCGCCTATCGGTAATATTCGCCATTTTTTACGATTAATTCGGACCACAGGTCGAAGGAAGGCAGGTGTAAGTGAGTTAATCAAGGAGTCTGACGGCACACTGATTCAAATTCAGGAACGTCGTTTGAACGTTGGGCAGAACATTTTAAAGCACAGTTCAACTGGTCCCCGTCGACACAAGATCTCTCCTAACCGCTTCAACTGCGCAAATGCTGCCAATTGACATCAGTTCTCCGTCTGAAATGGAGGTTACCCGGGAAATAAGTTAACTCTCAGACGGCATAAAGCGCTTAT